TTCGCTCCGGAATGTCCGCTACCGCGGAGTCTTGGCCCTCAGCCTCAGTCATCTCCTTCCCTGTTACCTTCACTTTAGCAGGCAATCGACTGAGCTCGCGCTCAGAAACTTCCACAACTTCGATGGGCTCACCGCTGCCGTCCTGACGCAGTATGGACTCCTTGGGTTCTGCCTCGTCGGCCTCACCCCCAAGGTCGCGTTCGGGTAGCAACTGTGCCTCCGCCGTTGTCGCCTCGTCCTCGCCCAGCAGACTCTCCTTGGCTTGCCCCTTGTCACCATCCTGGCGAGCAAGCTCGTGCTCAGGAACTTCCACAACCTCGATGGGCTCACCGCCGCCGTCCTGGCGCAGTATGGACTCCTTCGGCTGTGCTTCCACTGGTGAACCGCCCACCTCGCGCTCAGGGACGTCGGCATTTTCACCGGGTTGGAGCGTCCCGTATCCACTTCGCTCCAAAGGCTTTTCGGGAAGGTCCACCTCACCCTCAACGAATTCCCTAGCATCTACGTCGGGAACTGAGGTGAAGGATGTCACTGAACGAAGTGAACTGCTTTCTCTTCGCTTTTTCCGCGTTCTCTCTTGCTCTGAAAGAATGCGACCGTCCGTGCAGACTGTCTCCTCTTCCGGCTCTATGCCAAGGTTTCGCTCCGGAATGTCCGCTACCGCGGAGTCTTGGCCCTCAGCCTCAGTCATCTCCTTCCCTGTTACCTTCACTTTAGCAGGCAATCGACTGAGCTCGCGCTCAGAAACTTCCACAACTTCGATGGGCTCACCGCTGCCGTCCTGGCGCAGTATGGACTCCTTCGGCTGTGCTTCCACTGGTGAACCGCCCACCTCGCGCTCAGGGACGTCGGCATTTTCACCGGNTCGGGTAGCAACTGTGCCTCCGCCGTTGTCGCCTCGTCCTCGCCCAGCAGACTCTCCTTGGCTTGCCCCTTGTCACCATCCTGGCGAGCAAGCTCGTGCTCAGGAACCTCCACAACTTCGATGGGCTCACCGCTGCCGTCCTGGCGCAGTATGGACTCCTTGGGTTCTGCCTCGTCGGCCTCACCCCCAAGGTCGCG